TATGTCCGATTCAAAACGGAGCGTGGCACCTGGGGACCTTCCCTCGTTAGCAAGGATATACCGAGACCGAGACAACCCGGATCGACAGTTTCGATCTCAGTACATCCCTAGATATATTCGTTCTGGATCAGAGTGATCATAACATAGAATTAAAAAACACAATATCTTCATAGCAATAAACTTTGGATGTGGACGTATTCAATATGATTCTGACTCATATTTGACTAATCAGTTGAAGAAGAACTTTTATTAGTGTAGAACAATATGGTTATTAGTACCGAAAGTTTTTTTTTTGTTTTATAGCAATTATCAGCATGTCTTTCTCGATAGACATCTGACATTTTAGGCTAAAGAGATAAACAAGTCTGCTTAAATACAACACAAAAGTCTATTTATAATATTGTAAGAACGCAAAAGAAAGTTTCTTTTAATTTCATAAAAATGTAGTATGTAGAATATGACATATAATAATGTTTTAGTGCTATCTTTAGAACAAAAACAAAAAAATCTATTACATACAAGAAAAACATCTAGATCTTCAATTTGATCTCGTTCATCAGTAATTAAATCTTGTTGTTGATTTTTTTTCGATGGATCTTGATAATCAATTGTCTATTTAAAGAAAAAAAAAAAAAAATTAAAGTTAATTCTTTTTTTTGTATAATAATAAAATAAAATAATTTCAAACTTGTTTATCAATTAATTTTAAAATACTTGTTTTAAATTGATATAATCCACCAGTATCAGGTATTGATTGTAAAAATGTTTGTAATTGTTCAAGTACATGATCATTTGATTCAATAAGATCATTAAAATATTTATCAACCCATTGTCGAATAACATTAAGTACTCTACAAAAAAAAATTCAATTTATCTATTTCAATTAAAGAATAATTCTTTTACCTTAATTTAATTGGTTGAATATATTCTTTACGAAATTTTTTTAATTGTTGTTCTGTATATAAATATGCAGATGCTGGTTCAGGTATATTATAACGTTCAATAAGTAAATTTAATAATTCTAATGGTGTACAATAAGATTTATATGTCATAAGAAATGATTTAACAAAACGTGGATGTAATAATTGATGATGTGTTAAATGTTCAATTAATTTTTCTATAGTAGCACCACGTATTATAAATGATGATGATGATGAAGATTTATCATTTGTTTGATAATCAATTAATATATTTGTTGGTAAATTTGGTGCACAAAATCTATACATAATTAATAAATTTTGTAAAAAAAAAAAGAAAAATAAATCAATTTATTTACTTGTATCGACTTGGATCAGGTGTTAATAAAACTTGTTGAGCATCCTCATTAATAAGAATATTATATAATTCACGTTGAAGAATACTAAATAATAAAACAATAAAAAAGAAAATCTTTAACATTTATTCATCATAATAAACTAAATTATTTATGTAAAAACAATTTTCTTGATATACGTATATGGGCAAAATCATTTGTTAGCGACGTGACTTCGTAAAATTGCAACGCGTATATATCTTGAGATAATGAACTTCCCAAGAGCTAATTTTTATATATTATATGTAAGATAAGTTACTCTAGACACTCTGAAAAAATCAGCTCTAGAGACATTTGTTGAGAGAAGTTATTACTACAAAACACAAAAAAAGGACATCAACTTCCACTTCATGCATTTTAATTTAAAAAAACTTCGAACGAGTATAACATTTTTGAAAATTAAATGGTAAATTTCTGTAGATGACTCATACGGGTGTAAAATCCCTATCCGAAGTTTTTTTTTTACATTTTCCAAAAAATTCGATTTACTTTTCATTAGCAACGTGACTGAGTACGAATATGCCAAACGAAAAAATGCTCTTTTAATTGAATGAAAAGTTCAAAACAAATTTAAAATGATACAAATTCTTTCTCAAGATTTTGAGATGATAATAAGACAAAAGTTTTCTTTTCGGAGCTTGGAAGGATCTGTAGTAGAGTCTATTCTGAAATTTTATTGTTATTTTTTTGCTTCCTTAATTTAATATAAACTCAAAAGTACTCATACTCATTGCCCTCGAAAGTTTGCACTTGATCAACACATGTTTTTCTATTGATTATATAAGAATTATGATAAAGTTATTATTCTTGATATTTACCATATGTTCGTGTATTTACGCAAAACAAAAAAAAATAATTAAGAAAATTCGTACTGTAAAACTTTTCAACAGAATTAATAGCTTGATCAATATATTCATATGTTTTTTTTGTTAATTACTTAACCTTTACGCAATCATCTGGGATGTGCCTACATCTCAGCAAGTTGTATTTTAGTACTCAACCTTTGGAATATTAAATATAACACATTAATAACATCAATCAATCTTTCCTATATTACAACAGTTCTACATACATGTAAATTCTAAGTACGTGACAAATACGTTTGATATAACAAGAAACGAACCTTTTTGTTTTTTTTGATTGTATTAGAAATAAAGTTTAAAAAACAAAATAATTTGAAATATAAATTACCTTTTATTTCTTATATACATCAATAAACATAACCATTGAAATTTATCTTGTTCAGATCGAGCTGCTAGAATATAATTTTTTTCATCACATTTTATTTCAAATACATGTTCATGATCTATGACAAAAAAAAAGAAAATTCTTTTTTTTTTTTTTTTATGAAATTTTTTTGTACCAGGAATAATAATTTGATCATTAATATTAAATTTTCTTAACCAAATTTTTTCTTTAAATTTCCATTTATCATTTGATAAATTTTTACAAAGACATAATATAGTTGAAAATAAAATAGCACGTCGATCAACATTTGTTATTAATGTTGATGATGAATTTTGTATAACAATATGTTTAAGATAACTATCAAAAAGTGATATTGATTCTTTAATATCCCAATTTTCTATTGAATTTTTCCAATTATTTTTTTTATTATCATTTAATTTTGGCATTGAAAATGCATGTATACTTAAATTCCTAGAATAAAAAAATTTTGTTTTTGTCTTCTTTAAAAATTTTATTTTTTTCATATACATATATAATTTAGGTCGTTTAATATGATAACTATTTTGTCTTAATACACTAAGAACATCAGTTAATTGAGCTGATTCAGATTCTGGAAATAAAGCTAATTTCTTAAAATACAAAAAAGAAAATTTAATATGTTTCTTTTTTGAGACAGAAAAAAAAACAAGAATATTTTAATCCAATCTTTCGTACTTCTAAATAGATAAGATATTGTTGAAAATGATGAATAGGTATATGTAATAATGCAGGTAATAAATATCGATATGTTTCTTTGATTTGATCAGATTTTAACTAGAGAAAAGAAACCAAAAAATTTTTTAGAGAAGTAAAACAAAATGGCTTACTTCTAAATATTGTTTTATTTGTTCATTATTTAACATTTTTTTCAATTGATCTATATGATCTGTTGCTAAAATTGTTTGAGTATATTTTATATAACATTCAAATTCATTTCCCTAATAAAAATCAATTGAAAAGAATTTTAATTTCTCGAAAAAAAAAAAAAAAATATTATCGAAGACACTTCGCTAATAATAAATTATTCTTATAATAGATATATCTATGACAATGTCATGTCAACAAACTTACATAGAATAGATTATTCAGCTATTTACGTCCTAAACTGTCATAAAGATATTAGTTAATGATTGATTGAATCAAACATATTTAATGGGCAAAAAGCGAAAACTCTGTACTTGATCGTACTCCACAATAAATTCTCTAGAGTTTCTTAACTATTTTAAAACTAATATTAACATATGTCATGAGTAGATTAGTTTGAGTTCATTTTTTACATAAGTTATCGTTTTCGAGTAAGAAATTTACACTTATTTCTTGAATAGAATTTATAATTAATATTGAAATATATAATGCGGTAATTGAACTATTCATGCATTGTATGAAATTAAGTATATCATAAATCGAAAGAATTCATACAAAACCTTCTCATTTTTTTTATAAAACTTATGTGTACTAATTTTTGTCTCCAGTTTTGACTACTAAAATTTATTCGTATCGCAAGAGAAAAATACTAAGAAATCTTTTGATTAAATCTTTCATATTTATGTCCGTATCAAGAATAACTTACTTCAATAAAATTTTGAAATGGTTCATATAATGAAATATTTTTCGTTATATCATCTCTCATTTCTTTTGCATCTTCAAGATCTGATAAAAATCTTGTTGTTAATTCATAAATATCATCCAAACAACCAAAAACAATTTCAATAATCTAAGAACAAAAAAAAAAAATCATTGATTTTGTTGAAAAAAATAATAAATCAAATTTATTCAAACCTGTAGATCATCATGAAAAAATTTTCGAATAGGATTACGAAAAAATTTAATTAATAATTCTAAATCATCTTTATATTGTGTTTCTGTTATAATAAAATGTCGTATTAATTCATTATATGACATTGTTGTATCAATATTATAATTTGATGATGAAGTATTTGTTGTTGAATTTAAATCCGAACGAAGAATTTCAACAAAAATCTTTTCAAATAATTAACAAAAAATAAAAATTATCTTTTATTTTTCATTTCATTTTTACCGTATCAGCATTCATTACTAAATCAATATCATTCGCTATAATTTCATTTTTTCCCAAACGATTAACATAATCATGAGCAAGCTTTAAAAATATAAAAATTAGTAAAAAAATAAAAGAGATTTTTCTTCACAAACTTTAAGTACATCTTTGGTACAATGTTCAAGTGTTGTTGCTAAATAATTAATATCCATTTCATTATGTATACCAAATTCCTATGCAAAAAAATTAGTATGATTTTTATTTTTAAATAGAAATAAAAAAAGTATCAATTCAAACTTTATGAATTAATGTTTGAAGTTGATCAATTGAAAAAATTCGTTTTCGACTACTACGATTCAATGCATATTGTGCTTCAGGATAATTGATATACAACCTAAAAAAAAACAAAGCCAGAAGTTTTCTTTTTTTTTTTCCTAGTCAGAGATAATTATTTTCTATGCAAAATAACAGACGGAAGGAGAGATATCGACAACTGATATTTTGTAGTCTAAGAAGAAGAAGAAAATAAGGAATGATACTAAGGACAAAAAAAAAACTACATTAACATATTTTATTGTTTCTTTCTTCTTTCATTTTTATATTGTAACCTTTTTATGAGAAAAAAAGAGAATTTTCATAATAATTAAATAAGTTATTAATAAATTCAAGTATATGTTAAGATATTCGTTTTTAGATTAAATAATTTTATTTGATATCTTCAAAAACAAAATCATTTTAATCTATATTTAATAAAAGATAATTAGTACGAACATTGTATTCAAACTACAAAATGATTGAATTCAAGAATAAAAATAATGCATATCTAAGTGTAATGCGTATATAACTATAGACTTTTTAGAGCAATATGATATTTATCATATATAATAGCTTATTTGATTGATCCTTTAAGACATCGTAAGAAGAGAGCAAGAAAGAAAAAGATAAATTAATATAAACATTCTCATGAAGTTTGACAATGTAATGAAAGCTATTTTGATGTAATGAGTTTTTCAAAATAGAAAGATAAACTTTATTTATTTGTACTTAAAATATATAATTTTTATATGTTATTTAATCGATCAAATAGATATAGTCTAATAAATTATTCATCTATATAAATATACTTTACAATTAAATACGTATATATCCAATAGCGAAATAGTTCTGCGATATCAATTAGTTGCTTTTTTCTTCCTACATTGATAAGCCATTGGCCAAAGTACGATATCCCAAAGCAAGCAAAAAAGAAACAAATTATTAGACTAACAATATATCCTCATGATATTAATATAATTCGTGTGATTCATAATATTAAAATATACAGGACTTATGTATCTCATTAAAAAACTTTATATTTCAAATATTCATTATGCAAATCATAAGATTTTTATTTGAGATAAATTCCCAAGACAAGCAATCCTTGCACAGGATTCCGGTCAGGATTTCGTCGGAATCCGATAAAAACTGACGAAATCCGACAGAATCCTATCGGATTTTGCACGTGTCCGATCAGATCCGACAGACGGAATCCGGCCCATGGGATTCCGACAGGATGCAGACGCAATTATTTGAATCCGACGGGATCCGACCGAGCGAGAATCACCTGGGTTTTTTCTATAAATTATGTATGTATTAAACTCATTCGTCCTACCATTGTTCAAGTTCAGCTCGATGTGGATATTGTCGAAGAAGAAAACGAAGAATTTTATATAGAAATTCTTGTATACGTTGACAAGCATCATCATACAATTCCATTAATGGATATTCTCGATAGAATAACTACAAAAAAATTAAAAAAAAATAAATTTTTTTTTTTGATTATTTTAATTTTATTTATTATCTTAATTCTCGAATTTCTTACAGTTAATATACCAGGTCGTAATAATTTTTCCCATTGTGCTGATAGATTATTACTCATTTCAAATAAGAAACAAAAACAAAAACAAAAACAAAAAGTTTCAAGACAAGAGATAAATCTAGAACATAATAAAGGTTTATCGAATTGAAAAAAAAAAAAGAAAAATTACATGATCAAATAATAAAAAATAAATAAATCAACTGACAACAACAAAAAAAAAATAGACAAGATGATCAAATGTCTTACAGAAGAAAAAGAAAAATATATATTATTTAGAAAAAAATTTCCAATAAATAATACCACCTAATATACCAAGTTCAATAAGAATTATTGTTATTAGAAGTACTTTATTCATTATAACTCTAAAAGCAAAATAATATTTTTTAAATTTAATTTATTATCATATGAATTTGAAATAACTTGAAAAAGAATTTTGATTCTTAGCATAATTAATAATAATGATGTTTAAATAGAATACTGATATTCTCTCGTAGGAAAACTAATTTCCAAATTTTGACTTTCTGCAGAGACAAGTCTGAATTATTGATAGTATAAATGTAAGAAAAATGTGTAAGATAGACAGTATTGTTTCTAGTTATATAAAAAGAATCATCTGAAGGAAAGATTCTTTTTTGTATATTTGAGAGACTTTCTCTCTAATTTCATTTCCTTCTTTCTAGATTTTGTTTTACATAATGCGCATAATTTTCGATTGAATTTCCTTGTTAGGAAAAGTTAGATTAGAAAAGTCTACAAAAAAATTTGAATACAACACCGAAAACTTCAAATCTCAGTATTATTAGTTCGTTCGAGACTAATAATGGTTTTCTTTTTGACTAATATTAAAATTAAGACAATGATTATTATTCACATCGAATTGAACATTCTATGAGAATAATAATAATAATTGTATTAGTACATCCGATATTAAAATTATATTTTTGTTGATTACGATTGAAATAAAAATAAGATTAATTTCAATGAAAAATCATTCATCTTACAGAAGTCATTCAAAGTTATGGCCGAAGTCTGAATTCAGCCTAATTCAGAATTCGTCTAGGCGAATTCTGAATTGGGCTGAATTCTAACTTCGCTTATCAATAGGCACGTATTTAATTTAATATCTTACCTACTATACATTAATCGAAGTGTTTTACTACCAGCTTTTAAATTTTCACTACCTTCATTTAACTAAAAAATATTAATAAAAACTTGTTTTTTTTTGTGTATTTCTAAAATTAATGTTTTTTTTTTTTCTTTTTTACTTTATTTTGTGTACGTAAAAGTGCTTCACGTTGTGTTGTTAAGTCAGTCATTATTTCATTTCCTAATTGTTCAGTTTCATGAGCAGTTTGACGAGATACTTGTAATGTTTCACCCGTACGAACTAATGAACCATGACCACGTAGAAGTAAATCACGTTGTTGTTGTCCAAGTTTCTAAAAATTAATTGATGTAGATCATATTAAAAAAATTTCAATATTATTTAACTAACATCAACTTCTGAATCAAATCCAGAATTCCATGCACCATGTACAGGAATTTTACTAACATTCTCCTAAAAAAAAAATTCTTTTCAATATAAAATTTGAATAAATAATTAAAAAACATACTAAACGTTGACGAATTTCATCGATACGTTGTTTATATTCACGTCCATATGATGGATCGAGACGTTCTAAATCACGAGCCTTATAATAAAATATATTAGTTTTGAAAATCTAATTCATATTAAAAAAAAAAAAAGTAACATACTAATTTAGTTGCTTCATTAATTGAGTTTTCTACACGATGTTTAGAACTTAAATTTCGTGCTATAAAACAAAAACAACAAATTGAAAGAGTATTTTTATAGATATTTACTTGATTCAATTATTTGAATATCGTGTGTAATCTGATCGACGAGTGATGATAATCGCTGTCTTAAACTATAAGCGTCAGCCATTAGACTACAAATCTGGAATAAGGAAAAGTAGTCGTTTGTTTGCTTGTTTTATTTATCTTTGTTTTTTTTTTCTTCTCTATTTCTTAATAGTTTATTTATCTTATTACTCATTTTTCCACAAAAATGAATCCTCATATATATATATTTTTTTTTTGTTTTAGAATGAAACTTTCTAAGGTAAAAATAAAATTTATATAGATTTATCTTTCGTTCATTTATTTCTTGCTTTTTATTCTGTTCATTGCAAGTTTTTTTTTTTTTTACAACACACGAATCATATAAAGAAACCCAATAAATCAAAAAAACGACAGATGACTTTAGATGGTAAAAAAGGAAAACAAAAAAAAAAGAGATAAAATTTTCACACTGAAAGAAGAAAAACAAACTTCTAAAACTGTTTTTTTTTTATTTTTTTTAATTTTTCTATCCCAATTCCTGATTGTTTACCATTGGAATTCATATTCTAATGTTTTCATCCAAATAATAAAACCAATATAATGTTTGTGTTGTTAAATGAAGTACAAATAAATGAAGATGAAGAAACAACAACAACAACAACAATGATAATAAAGAAGAAAAGATAATGATTCACTGCTCTTATCATTTTAAAATGAACAGTTTCTACATAATCATTCTTCCAAAAAAACAAAAAAAGAAAAACAACGAAAGAAAACTTTTTAAAAAAAAAAGAACATTTTAGAACGAGAGAGATACGATCAATAAAAATGTTCACATTTATGCCATTCGAATGCTTTGAATTATTTGGAAGACAGCCGAACCAACAACAACAAAAACAAATAATGCCAAAAGCCATGGACCAACAGGTGTTTTACCATCGGCTTGTTTGGTTGTTTTTGGTACATTACCACGTTGTGTTACTCTAGCACTATGTACTTCATTCGCTCGTTTACGTTTTGAATGATGAGCTGGCATAATTATATGTCTATTATTAAAATAATAAGAAATTGATCGTTGTCTATTATATATTTTTCTATGCTTATCTTACTTTTTTTAAATGGGTTTAAATAATCGATGGAAAAAAGACACGTGTGTGTAGGTGGAAAATAAAAGGACAATACAATAAATTAAGCCACGTAAGAACCTTTACATGCTTCTTTAGGCCTCTGTTCATTTTAGCAAAAAAAATAAAAATGCGACATCTACTTCAAGATGATGAAAAAAAAAAAACAACAACAACAAAAATGAAGGTTAAAAAGAATTTCTTTATGGTAGACGACTATTAAATTCTTTTTGTCTTTTGTTTGGATTATTTCTTAAAAGAAAACTAAAATATGTCTGTTAAATCAATTCCATCCGAATGGGATTTAACACCTGATGAAATTAAATTAATAAAAAAACGTGCACAATTACGTGCAACAACAAAAGCTGAATTTCTTAAACGTTATAGAAATCCATTTTATGCAAGTGTACCTGGACATTTTGTAAGGATTAGATTGATTTTTATTTTTGTCGTATTGAAAAATTTTCTTTTTTTTTTTGTTTATATGTTTAATAGGTTGATCCACAAAATATTCGTCTTTATGCATATCAACAAAATAGTTATCGTTATTTATATACATCACCAAGAATACTTCTTGCACCAGGAATTTTTCTTCTAATTGGTGGATTATTACAATATTTTGCACAAAAAAAACGTGTAAGTTAACGATTTTCAAATGAAATAATTCTACTTTTCTTTTTTTTTGTATTGTTGCTTAGATTCAATATAACAATGATTGTAATGCAGGAAAAATTCCATATGCTGATCGACCAGATTTTAAAGCTTATTTTTGAATGAACTATTTCAATAATCTTGAACTTTCTCTTTCTTTTTTTTATGTCTTATGTAGATTTGAATATCCTTGGTCTTCTTTTTTTCTTTTTTTCTTTTAATGTATTTGAATACAATTACATGAAAGTTTGGTATGACATTTTTATTGAATAATGAAAAATGCATTTATTTCCTGTCAGTTGATTTTTATAAAAATTATATGGTTGAACATGAATTTTTCTTTGTCTGGTTAGTATAATCTTTATATGGTTAAAATAGCTTACAGAGGTAAGTTCTTCTATTGATAGATGACTTTTGAATTAAAACTATGTGATGTATGAATATCTTGAGAGAAGATTCGATACTTTTAAAGTAGGTTTTTTTTTAATATCTTACGAGGGAACATTCCCAACTGTCACATCGCTTTTGAGTCGAGTGTATAGGCATCAAGTAGGTCCTAATGATCTATGAATGCTCTGAATAAAGTTCGTGCCGCTAGCTGAGATATAGCATTTTTATGTGTATGTGTAAAGAAAAAGCCGTGGTCCCCCTCAGAAAAAGTGAGTTTTGAGTTTCCATCTGAAACTTTGCATGTAGACAGGCCTCAATGAGAATAGTTTATTGTGAAGGTTTCAGATTTTTTAGTTGCTTCTAGTCTGAAATAAGAACATCGGATCTGTTGGTGTATATGAGCAATTTTACGATAGATGTATCTTAGGATAGGAACAGCGAAAAGAGCTGAAACTTTCACAATAAAGTATTCTCGTTGAGGCTTATATCTTTGCAAAGTTTCAAGTCGAAATTTAGTTTTTTCAGTGTTCCTGAGGGGGACGACGGCTCTTTTTTTCTTAAACATACAGTAAAAACACAGTATCTCGGCAATAGTAAGCTAGCGGCACGAACTTTTCCAGAGAATTCATAGATCGTGAGGGTCTACATAATGCGCATACGTTCGACTTAAAAGCGATGTGACAGCTGAGAATACTCCCTCGTTAGGATGAAAGTAAATCAAAAGATTTTGAAACTTTTATAATGAATTTAACTTCATAGCAATAAACTAAGAAGATGAACTTTTTTCAGGATATTCAGAGCTCAATTAAGTCTATATGATGTACATAATCTTGAGTTATCAATCGGAAAATTTTCTTTAATAGATAGTAAGTTTGTTTTTATTGATGGACATATAGATATCTATCATTTATTGTTCTTACACTTATACATTTCAATTCAAGTAAATATTATTACATTTTTTGTTTTCTGTCACTAATGCATATAAGTACTAACTATTGATCTTTTTTTTTGCTTTTTATTCTTTAAGAAAGTATTTCTTGTAAAATTTATGCGAATGAATCATATGTTAGTTTGAAATGCAATTATTTCCCTGTTTCGAAAGATATATTATTCAGTTTTTATTTTTAATTTAACATAACATAAATTTTGAGATAAACAAAAAAATTTTAATAATTTGTCTAATGACATAATCAGAAATTCGCTATAGAAGAGGAACACTATATTCACCACTATTATTCATGAAGTCATTAGAGTCAACGGTAGCCGAAAACTACACCAGAGAATCATTAGTATCCTTCCTCACTTAGTTCATTAATTCGAGTTGAACATAACAACTTTATTGTTATAAAAATATCTGAATATTGACGGGTACTACAATCGTATAAGACTTCCATTAAAATATCATATTTTCACAACTCATATATTTCAAAAGTTTATAACTGAATTGTCAAGTACATTAAACATATGAAATATTAGTGACATCATGAAAGATATTAAAAATCATATCGATCATACAAAATGTTTCATACTCATTGACACTACTAAAAAATGATCGTGTACTTTTCGCTTGTACAAGTATTACAGAACTGATCCGACACTAGAAGGTTGTGACAACCTTCCAATCATCGAAAATGAAAATTTTCTTTTTTTTTAGTTCTGTTAGACAAAAAATTTTATTCACCTCCGAAACAACCTTCCCAATGTTTGCTAACTCGAGCCAACCCTGAAGTATTACTAAGCGCGATACGAGACTCAAAACGATTGGGCGCACTCATTACTAAAATATATTTTAGCAATTCATCATGTGTACAAGATTTAATCAAATGTGATATGCTATTATACATTCGAGCGACATCGTTTTCATTTCATCTTTCTATTCTGTTCAATCGTGTAATGATTAGATTGGTGCATTGAAAAAAAAAAAGATGATATTTCGAATTCGTCTAGTCTGTTTGGGACTCAGGTCGTCGGGATGTTGTTGTACAAAAAAAATAAAATACATGTGTATTGACCATGTCAGATATTGCGGTCGAAATATATCTATAACTTAACCGATATGATCTAATTGATCTTCAGAAAACATTTCTCTATTGCATAAAATAGATGTTCTCTTTCGAATAGAAAATATCGTATTTGTTTAATTAATAGAAGTAAATAAACTTTTCTATTTTTCAGATTGTATAAGCACTTGTTAATACGAACTTATTTTATAATCTTAATGAGTTCAATTAATAATAATAATGATGATGATGATGATGATCTCATGATGTTTACTATGGGTAATAAAAAAAAGAAAATCTTTCATTTATATAAATATTTGCAATAATTTTTCTTTTTCTCATTAGATCCATTAAATATACATGATGATAATGAAGATGAATCTCGAATTCATCAAAAATCTGATTTATCAACAAGTGATTATCATTCATATGTAACAACAACTGATATATCACAAATAATTGATACATCATCATTTGAATTAATAAATAATAATAATAATAAAAAAATGTTTGATGTAACTGAATTACTTGGTTCATCATCATTTGATGATAAACAAGAAATATTTAATTGGTTTGATAAACTTCAACCAATATCAACAAGTTCACCAAGTTTAAATATTGTTGAATATTTACGTACACAAACATTAAAATATGATCAAGATATAGAATGGCAAATGGAACAAAATCATTTAAAATATGGTAAGAAAAACAAAAAAACAAAAAAAAAATTTTTTTTTATTATTTTAATTAGATTCAAAACAAATTTCACCAAGTGATTATTTAAATCGTCAATCTCTTTATAATCGTCCAATAGCTTTTGAAAAAGATTCACATTCATGGACATGTCATTTATTAAATAATTTAAAAAAAACACCAAATAAATCAACAATTAATTATTCTTATATTAAAAATTCACCATCATTTGATCATCATATACAATATGTTGAACATTTAAATGAATGTAATGATTATCCAACATATTTAGAATATTTAAATGAAAATCGTTCACAATTATTTTATACACTTACTGATTCACTTGATATTATTGATGGTATTCTTGGAACTGTTATTTCATCATTTTGAAAAAATAGATCTATAGAGATATATAGATATATATTTTTTTTGTTTTCTCTTTTCGTTTGTTTTTGCAACGTGTCTAAATACCGTTGTTCTTTCGTATTCATATAGGTATGACTAATGGAAAAATTATAATAATAAAACAAAGCTACTTATCAGTGATTGAATATCAGTTGATTAAAAAGATATTCTTTGTTTTTTTTTTTACAAATATATCGATATGTTTCTAATTATCTATAAACAAGTATATTTATATGTCTTTACAATAGCTTTTGAAAATATTCGATTAGAAAAAAAGGAAGTAGGAACAATCAAGGATAATCATTACATCATAGAATAAAACTCAAATTTATTTTATATGGAATTATATACTGATCAGAGCTTAGGTGATGAAGTCAGAAGGCTCGGATAGACCGGCAACAGGAGTGAGAACAGTTTACAACAGAATTCTTTCAACTGTTAAACTAATTTTAAGTCGAGGCTATATAGAATCAAATGAGGTATGAGTATTCTGCAACTAGTTCTTGTTCTTAGACGAATGGTTACGGACAAACGACACTTTAATAGTAATTTATTAAATAACTGCATGATCCACTTCAGGAACAATAGAAAAACTAATTTTCGAATTGAAACTGTACATGGAGATAGACTTTAATAAAAGTACTTCCTGTCGCAATTCTTCTGATAAGATACAATTATGAGAATAGTATGCCTTTTATATCACACACATAAACTAGCAGATTCAATGTTCTTGTCAGATTAACTAGAGTCTACTAAAATTTTCTTTTGCCTTCGACGACTAAGATTGTAGGCCTATTAAATATTTTCAACAGTGGAGAAGCTCAAAAAGCAGCATCTATTTTCTTTTTGTAAAGCATTTCTGTTTCGCCACTGAACTGTTTTCTAGTAAAACAAATTCGAATCTCTTCTCTCGAAAGTCGTAAACACTCACAGGTTTTTTTTTTATTCAAGTTGAGAAATATTAATTTGATAGAAACTTGTCTTTTATCATTTTTAACCTGCAAGTAAAGGTTGTATAAAAATTCTGATTTCTTTTCGAGTTTTTACATTTCGCTATTCGATCCTTCATGAGTTTGAGTATAATTTCGAAATTAACTCTTGCCAACAATTAACACATCTTCATTATGCTACTGTAATTATTATATAGTACACAGTGTTGAGGTTACTAACAATACACACTCGCATCAATCTAAAACTTTTCAGAATTAAACTGAATAGACTGTATTATGAAAAGAAAAGATTTCAATAAACAATTTAGTCACTGTAAAGTAAGTTTTAAGAATGTCTAAATTGACAATATCATTCCATATAAAGTAATTGTCTGAATATGGACAAAAATTTTAGAATCAGAATAATTGGATAAAATATAGCAAAAGCTTATAGTTCGATAAAAATGTTCATGTATTATCATAGTTTCAATTTACTATCATTCAAGATTAAAGATTTATGACAATTTAAAAGTCAAAAACGAATAAATAAACTTCTTCGCTTCTAAATATGGATTGAAGAAGGTTAACCGAATGTATTGATGATATCAATGTCTTCGATATAAACATCGTAAATACAATACAATAGGTCAAAGTGTACTCATCAACGTGTTTTCACCATCTAGGGTCTGTGCGAATCCTAGCCGAGAGAAAACCTAAGTGATATGAAGGTTAATATACTCTATAGTTTTATCACAACATCCATAGCAGAACAAAATAGTGACATGCGATTAACTATATGAATTTTGAAGTTCAATCTATATTTTATTTGTCATGATACTTTATTTATTTTAGTTTACACGATTTGCTCGAGTAAGTTTCAAAGTGCTTTCATTTAATTGATTCGTCGACAATCTCTTCGTTTAATGAAATATCCGTTAAAAGGATACATAGAGTATAGAAGAATTCGAATGAATATTATTGATTTTATTTCAAATAAGATGTTAAAAATATGAAAGAAGATTTTTCAATATTTAGAAAAAGAAATTGATGAAAAGTATTTTTTTAAGACAAAATTTGATGTTTCATCGATAGTATGACAGATGTGTCGAAACTTTTTACACAAAATGTTCTTTCATATTTTGATCAATTAAGAGAATTTGAAGAATATATAAACATTTAGTTCTCATAGATTAGAAATTCTTTAAAAGATCTAAAAGTAAAGTTCGACTGAAGATGACTTGATTAACTCATCATGAGATGGAGATTACATCCGTATCCTACATCATGCTTCGAGTTTTTTTTTGAAACAGTGCTTGGATAATAGACTTCCGTCTTAGTAATAATGTCCTTTATTGTATATAGTCTATTAGTATTCTTTTTGTACAGCATAAAAATCGATATTGTTTTCTACAAAGTCACCTAAGAACTTAGAATATTACAACTGTCAGTCAGAAACGATCGCGTTTACTTTCTAAATCTGGAAATCAAGAACACTGCATTGTATTTCTTTATCAAAATTAAACTCTAACTGTTGGATGGATTTAGTTACTATGCCGAAATCAAAATTCAAACTCAATATCCAAGCAGATTGAATTTGGTATATGTCTAATTGAGATGCAACAGATTTTTCATAGGCCATTGTTTTTCATAAAAATTTGATTTGAGTCCTAGGGTGATACATCAAAATTGTTACTTGTTATTTCCTCTCCATTCACTTATTTATCATGAAGCATTCAATGTATTGAATAAATATTTTTCGAATCTTCAATAATAATATTATACAATGAGTATCGATAAACAAAACATGATTGTTAATGACATGCAGAGGAAGATGATCAAATAATCGAAAACAAGTAATCATTTTATACATCAATGATGCATATTCTCTTGTTTCACTTGAAAAAAAGGTTATATATGCATACAACGTAGGAACATTTCGTTTAAATAAATGAAAAACAAAAAACATTCATATTTTCTTTTGTCAACAGAAAATAAATCTGATTTGCTAAAATAAAGTTTTGAGGATTTTTCTATGCTTTTTTGTTTTTGTTAATCTTGTACAAGCTAAATTTGTGTAATGGATAAAACAAATGCTCTGAAATTTCGATGAATTATAGACACCTTCTAGAATTAACAACAAGAAAAAGTTGATCAATATCGTTAAGTCGATTCTTAAATCATTTCAATATGGTTGATAACTACAAACAAACTGTGTACATACCAGTTCGAACTGCCTTTTTTAATATTCAACTTCAAGAAAACTTATTGTTTGATAAAGAAAAAACAAAAATGAAAGCTACAGTAACAATATTTAATGTTTCACTATATTATTCTGTGTCACTTTTGATGTTATCCAGTCGTAGAAATAGTATTAGCATTATGAATATAGAGCAATACTAAATGTTTATACCAGACGAAATGAATGTCCTGGATGTAATGCTGGAGCCTTGTTAATGCATCGATCACAAAGATCATAAGTGTCGCCCCATTTGCAGATTTTACATTGGTAACGACGACCAGCATTTGTTCGACGACAACCATTACACCACCAAGGTGATGGTGGTGATGGTGGAGGAGGAAAACCTGATCCGAATGGTGAAGAATTTGACATACTGATATTTGTAATGAGATCAGATGGAAGAAACCAAGTTTATGTTTCACAATAGGTCGATATTTGACTAGTGAAATGAAAAACAAATGAAGCGGGTATATAAACAAAACAAACCAGAGAAAAATTATTCATTGATGTATAACTTTAGAGAGTCCCCGTCCTACTCAATTCTGATTTTTCTTATCCATAAATCGATTCATTGATGTGTGACCGTAGAGTATCCCCTCCTCCTTTTTGCTTAGCTCTTATCTTTATTTTGTATGAATTGACTCTTCAATTCGTGGACTAAGCCGAGTACTTTTTCTTTTTTATTACAGAACAATTATCACATTGTATTAGTAGCTACTTTTACAGTAGGCCTTTCAATGTAACACAAAAATATTCTAGTAGTGAAAAAAAAGAAATATTTGCGTACATTTCGTATTTCGATGAATAATATTATAAACCAAGGTCATTTTAAGTTGTACCTTGCACCTTCGATGATTTGTTTACTTTGAACAGAAAAATATATTGAATGAATAATAAATCATTATACTAAACATCGGAGTTGAAATATCATACGACAACATATGTTTGTTTTTTTATTGCTGTTAATTGGAAATTAAAACTTTTTTTTTAATGAATGTTTCACTTTTTTATACAATATGTTACTCGACGTCTGTATTTGTTCTATTGTACAAAAATGAATCCGCAAGATAATCAAGTTTTCTTTTTTTTTGTTACTTCGTATTTAAATTAATTGTATAGAAAGTTTCTACTCGTATCTTTACATTTAATATTTTGGGATATTAATTTATAAAATATATATATGAATACAATATTTAGATTTTCAAAATAATAATAATAAAAAAATTATTTATTTTTGCAAAATCAAAATAAATTAATAAATAAAGATAAATGAGTTCTGCATTTTTAAAACTAAAGATAATATAAAGAAAGATTTTTTTTTTTTCTAATACGTAAATAGACAAATACCTTTTATAAGAATAGAATATGATAATAGATAGTCTTTCTTATTACCAATATTACTTCGATGTGTGATGTCATTGAAAAATAAATGAAAATGACCCATAGGAAAAAATGTATGCAAAACAAAATTTGTTGTATATCGTATAAGTATTTATTATTCTATTAATTTATATGATTCGTCTAGTATAAATTAATAATTAGAGTCTCATTAAATATCGTTTTACTATTTATTTTTATCTTATTAATATAAAAATTTTATTTATATTTATTGCTTATTATAAAAAATAATAAAAATAATATTACATGTCTTTTTTTGATGTATTTTATCTGAAAATCAAATGATTGTTTGATCTATTTTCTTCTAAACCTAATTGTTCTAGTTATTGTTTTAGATTAAAACTATGATGGACGTTTTGACATCACTTTGACCTAGATAATAAGAGAAGCTACGTTGATGTAAAACATTCACACAATATAGAGGCCTAAATTTATATCCATTTCTATCAATTTCAACGTAATTAGTCAAAATTTTGTATTCCTTTACTCTACCGAGACAATTCAGGTTGCTTGTAATTCTAAAAAATGGAAAAAAAACTATTTTCTCTCTCGCTTATAACAAATGTAACAACGTCGAAATTTTAGCATCTTATGTCTTGTAACTGGACAAATATTAGACTCAATTTTTGTATCTCTATCCTTAATAATAACGGAGGTTGAGATTGTGAGAATTATTTTTTCTTCTGTCCTAAAAATAAAAAAACAAGAACTGTCATTCACAAGTAATGTACGCATTGCTTAGATTTTAATTCAACAAATGCACTCACCTAATGATAAATAATATTATATTTATCCAGACAAACAAGACATTTAAAAACAACACGTTTAAACGTGTAGAGATTCTGTAATAAAGTCGTTTAAAAGAAATATTATCGTTACAACGATTAATTTTTGCTGAAATTTACACGTTTTTTTTTTGTTTGTCTCGCTATTGATTTTACGAGTTCAAACGTGTTCATAGGATTGAATATATTTTTATGTTACAGGGTATTCGAGTTATTTTCTTTCTTTTGATACTAGTTTACAGTGTTAAACAGCAGCTAACAGAAGCTCGCTTATTTAACAGTTTTTATACAGCATGTGAGTAGATATTGATATCTGAAATCTAAAGAAAAAATAAACAAAAAAAAAGACTGCAAAAATCTTCTCTAAATAATTTCATAAATAAACAAAGACATGAACAGCAATAAAAACAAAAAGATTAAATCAATGATACAAGTGAATAACCCCCAATCAGCAAAATATTATATATATGTATTATATATACACAAATAAACCAAGAGTCTTCTCCCATAGAGAACGCTACTTCTCTAGCATGACTTGAATAGATCATCTATTCTAATGAAAACTTTAAAAAAGTACTTGCATGTAACATGACAATAGTAAAATAAACTTAATGAAAAAGATTTATTATTGTAGTGAAGAAAAAAAAGTATAAAATATTTTTGTTTATCTCATGTTATCATATGATTTTTAGCTAAAGTTTTATTTTGATATGAGAATTATGATAAAATTCGCCACTAGAACTAATTTTAGTAATTTGTTTGAAAACTTTTTCTGTATTCTTAAGTGTCAACATAATCAGAAAAAAAATTTATATAGTGTACCAGAAATATGGAAATTATTTACATAATCCGACTGAATAAGGAGCATAATATATTTTTTATTCAAACTTTTAATTTTTGTAGTTACAAAAAAAAGCAAAGTTTCCTAATTGAAGCTCATGTTCACAAAGAAATTTAACTTTTTCTGATATCAACTACCATTTTACGTAGAAGTAACACCAATATAAAATTAGCAGAACAAAAACACAGGGAAAAGTTTGACGAAAATTGACCTCCATGCTATTATTCCGCTTATTATTAGATATCAACTGAGTATTTTTCAATTAATCATACAGTAATCGATAGAGAAATGTTTGATCTATGTTTTATATTGAGAATTTCAGTTATCAACAGTTTAATAAAGAAGTATTTGTTGTCCAGCAAAATTAGCTTTTCTGATAACATATATAATACATTTGTCTCATGTGGTACGATAAGTCCTTTAGACAACAGAGAAGTTCTCTAGAAGAAAGAAATATCCACTAAGGGATTACTCGAATTTGGCTTATTTTATAAAAACTGATATATGTGACATTGCATAAGGTTTGTGAAACCTCAACATTTTTTTGAAACTTTGACGCTATTAGATAAAATTTATCGTTGAGATTAGCTTTTGTTCTGTCTAAATTGCATTTTTCTTTATCAATCCAATACGAGGAGAGAATAGAAAAAATACGATATTTGATGGCGTCAAAGAAAGAAAACACTCTCGACATGATGATTGTCACTAAATAAGGTGGGATATCTCCCTCAATTGTGATTGCACATGATCATCTAAGAAAAAAAAAACAATATTGTTTACGAATATAAAAGCTTCATCATATTATTAACCCATTCACCACGACGGGTCCCACCGGTGGGGCCTGCCATATTTTAACAAAAAAATGACTTGAAAAACACTTCTTTTCCTTTTTCCTCAAGCAGAAGGTTTAGTGTAATATATCATCTGCTGCTCTCCGCTATTGTTTGAATTATTTATTACATAGAATAGTGTTTCTCATTGAAACAACCAAGACAATCAAATTTGTCACAATCAGAACAGATGGTTTTTATTTTCTTTGCTGCCGCATGACTCGCTTCTCTTGATTATCGTTGCCTGATTCTTTTCGTAGCAGCTGAGCATAACGTCTTCAGACATTCCGAGGAGATTCTTCTTTCTCTTCGTGCGGGTGATTAGTGAGTTTGCGCTTCGTTTAGTCTGTTGAGTTTTGCCTCGGATTCAATTTCAGCTTCTCGAATGGCATGCCAAACAGTAAAGATTGGAGAAGACTTTCACGAAACTGCAGAATGAAGGCACAGGTTGCACTAGATTACAACAAAAGGAAATAGAGTAGTGATTTATCTGACTAACTATTGACATAATATACATGCCTCAGGCGGTCAAGAAAATGATACTGAAAGATGGCCTTTAAATTAATTTTTGGGACGGCAATACTTAATAGCTATTTAATATACAAGGAAAACTACGCTGCAAGTGAAGTGACCATTCTCCAGTTTCGTGAAAGTCTTCTCCAATCTTTACTGTTTGGCATGCCATTCGAGAAGCTGAAATTGAATCTGAGGCAAAACTCAACAGACCAAACGAAGCGCAAACTCACTAATCACTCGCTCGAAGAGAAAGAAGAATCTCCTCGGAATGTCTGAAGACGTTATGCTCGGCTGCTAAGAAAAGAATCAGGCAACGATAATCAAGAGAAGCGAGTCATGCGGCAGCAAAGAAAATAAAAACCGTCTGTTCTGATTGTGACAAATTTGATTGTCTTGGTTGTTTCAATGAGAGGGTGTGGGTGTGATTAGATATAAGATACACCCACACCCAAATCGAA